ACCATCTGACACGAGAGACCGTCAGAAGAGGAGAAGTTTTTGTATCTAAGATTGCATCAAAAAACAACATGGCAGGTCCTTTTACGAAGAGTCTATTAGTGTATGTCTTTGACAAGCACGTAAGAGAGATGAAAGTCAGGTGTATGGCGATTATTTGGACATTTCATTAAGAATTTGATTGAAAGAATGGATACTTAGTTTTAGTAGCTTTGATGTATATGTGGAAGATTATTGGCATATAATATAGAAGCTTGGTTTTGTGTTATGAACAATTTTATTATGAATGAAATTTAAGTTTTAGTCAAGTTTATGTTTGTAGTGTATTTATTTATGCGAATATTGTTACTTTATTATATATATATATATATAGGGTCACGCTCTGGTGAGAATAGTGCTTAGTAAAAGAAATAAGAATACATCTTGGCCATTAGATCGGATGATCTAATGGCTAAAAAAAAGTCAAACTTATACCTTCATTAAGAGTATTGTGGCAATTTTACACAATACACTCAAAGAGGTGGGCCCCTTTCACAATAAATAAATGCCATTCTACCAATCAATCCCACCTACCTACCACATTTATTGACCCGTCAAACCCACTCACCCCAACCCCAACCCCCACACACTTTCACTCTCTCACACCCGCACACAAAAAAAATGGAAGAACACACATGCACATGCACACATTCATGGAAAACCACCGTCAGTCCGCCACCTCCCGTCCGCCGTCGCCACCGCCTGTCCGCCGCCGCATCGCCTTCCGCCCGCTCTCTCTAGCTTACCGTTGACCACCGCAAGTAGGCGCCGTGAAAAATGGCTTCTGCGTCTCCATCTCCAGCGGCCGCAGGAGAAGGCGTCTGCATCTCCGGCAACTCCACGTCGAACGCCGTCAACCGCCAACCGGTCTGAGCGCTCCTCCACCTTCGACCGTCTCCTGCCACCAACGTACCTGAAGGGCCGTCTCCACCAGACACAACACCCATGGACGCCGGAAGCCGCTACCGGAGAGGACTGGGCGACGGCAGGTGCGGTGGTGAGGATGAAGATGAATTTGGAGAGGTGGTGTCAGGGCAAGATGAAATCTGGAAAATTGATTATAGCATTGGGCATGTTTTTTGAGAATTAGATATTGTATAGGGATTTATTTACAATTTTAATAATTGTAAGTATTTTTCAATTTAACTCATGTGTCAAATCTGTAATTATTGAAAGTTAATAAAAAAACTTATTCGTTTATATGTTTTGTTATGCATATATATAAAATAATAAATAAATTGTTAAATAAAAATAATATAAGATATTAAAATAATATAAAAAGATTTTGTAATTATAAATAAATTATATAATGAAAATAATAAATAAAAATCATTTTAATTATTTAGGTTAATGCAATGTACAATCATACACATAATTTAGTTGGGAGAGTATAATTAGCTAGTGCAATTTATATAGCAAAATGTCGCACTTTATAAAAAAATACGTTGCACATTATCACATTGTCTATTTAAAAAAACACACAAGCATGCTAACGTACTAAAATTAATATGTTGCACATTGCACCTTATAACACAACATGTTGCACCATATAAAACGACATGTTGCACGTACTAAAAATTCAATAATTTTGATAATCAATCAAATAATATTAATTGATTAATAGTCAGATTTATTATTTTTAAATAAATAAAATAGTTGAATATGCCGAATTATATGAAAAAAATATTAGCAAATTTATTATTTTTATTTTTTATGAAAAATAATACTATTTTTATCTATATTTTTGTTGCTAACGTACTAAAACTAATACGTTGCACTTTATACATTAATACATTGCACCGTATAACACAACATGTTGCACCGTATAAAACTACAGGCTGCACGTACTAAAAATTCATTAATTTTGCTAATCGATTGAATGATACTAATTGATTAGTTGTCGGATTTATTATTTTTAAATAAATAAAAAAATGCATATGCCGAATTATATGAAAACATATTAGCAGTTTTTTATTTTTATTTTTTATGAAAATATAATACTATTTTATCTATATTTTTGTATATATTGCGATTGCACATTATGATTATACAAATTGCATATAATTGTTTCCCTTATTGTACAAAATCGAACGAGACCAAAGAACATAAATTCAGTATGAAATCTTATATTTTGTTTTGATTATTATTATTATTATTATTATTATTATTATTATTATTATTATTATTATTATTATTATTATTATTATTATAATATCAATTATTTCGGTACGATATCATTTTCTTAACTTAAATGACCACAATAAAAAACAAACTATATTAAAAATATATATGTTTGTATGAAAATATTAAGCTATGCTTTTTTAATGAAATATAAAAATGATAGTATAGTGAATTTTTTATTTATTATTATGTATGTATTAAACTTGTATTAAATTGTCAATTTGCCTAATATACTCAATTGAAATATAATAAACTTTCAAAATTTGAAATTAAGGCCCTAAAATAAATCAAATTCTCAAACAATAACCCCAAATCAACACAACCTCCCTTCACCATCTCCAACCTCCCGATCAAAATTTCACGGCACCATTGTTGGTGTTGCAGCCGGCGTCACCGTGGGACCTGAAGTGGTTTACCTGCCGCCGCGTCAGAGCAGACGGCGCCCTCGAATCCATTGTCATCTCGTCTGTCAACCTTAATGTTGTCGACCAATTGGCCATGGCCATCGAGCTCTGCCGCCACCTCCGCGACCAAATGAAGTACGCCATCGCGTCGTTGTGTCTGTGTGGTCACAGGACTGCTGACGGCGGTGGCTTGGCTGATTCCGGCGAGAGAACGCTAAAAGGGTGGACCTCTCCAGCTATGGCGGAGAAAGACGTGTATGGTGTTTGAAGAAGGCCAGATCTATGCCGGCACGGTGGTCGTCTGCGTAGGCGGTCGGCGATGGGCGGCGACAGGCCGAGGAGGTGGTGTATGCGCTGCGTGAATTTAGTGTATTTTTGTGTGTGAGGCGAGTGTGTGTACGTGCGTGTGTTGAGATGAGTATTTGATTTATGTGAGAGACATTAATGGGTGATTGGGGTGGGTCCCACTAGATGATATGAAAAATAGTGTAAGTACTAATATACCCTTAATTATTGGTGAAATGTAATTATTTGACCATAATAGTTCAAATAATTATCAAATTGCCATTAATGAATGACCATTATTTATGAAAGTTTGACTTGATCATGATCATTGATTTTCGGTCCGATTATCATTTTTTAAAATTTCGGTCTGATTATCATTTTTTATATTAAAAAACTCGATTGTGTTAGTTCGTTTTCGATGTTTTCTTTGATTTTATTTAGATAATGAAAAAACTCCATTATTATTATTATTATTATTATTATTATTATTATTATTATTATTATTATTATTATTATTATTATTATTATTATGTTGTAAAAAATATCATATTTTCAGCCTTTGATTTTTAATAAATTGTAAATGTGTAATAAACAAAATATTGTGAATTGGACCAAGTAATTTCCTAGAATATTATTGGGCACATAGAAAATACACATACATGAGTCCATTTCAATTTGGGCTTTCATATGCTTAAAATCACGTAGTAAACCTGGGCTGAGTATGACTTTTTGTATTATCCACATCCCAAAAATCCTAAATTGCATAATGGTCCTTTTGACATATCTAATTTTCAAACACAAGTCTGTAGCCCTAAAAAGCTTCGTCCGTCACTGTCACTCGCCTTTCATCAGCGCCCAATCTCTTCTGGCAGCTCTCTCTAGGAAGGTCATGCTTGAAATCGACCGTCAGCTCTCCTCCGCTTGGTTCTCTAGCGAGAATGGCGACATACTTGCGGCGGCTGGGCTGAGCTACTCGTCACTATAGCGGCCATCTCGACGGCGTCCGAAGCGGCTGCTCGTGGCGTATATCGCTGGCCCTGAGCAGTGACATATGGCCTACACATTTTCTCTGGTTAATTCTCGCCGGAGTTTCAGAAACTCCTTCATGGCCGGCGAGTCTCTGACGAGATGGAGGAACGGATAATACTACAGACGGCGGCGGGAAGCTTGCGTCGGCTGGCAGTGGGGTGGCGGACGGTTGATGGATCCCGACTGCAAAGGGTGTGTGTGTGTGTGAGAGAGAGAGAGAGAGAGAGAGAGAAAGAGAGTGTGTGTAGTGTGTGTGTTCATGAAAAAAATTCAGAACATGAGGGTGAGGAGAGAGAGATATTGAGGAAAGAGAAAAGGTGGGGTGAAGTGATTTGGTGAGTGGGCCCCACTAGATATATGTGTATTGACTAACTTACCCTTAATTACACATATTTGACCACAATATGATCATTTAATTACCATATTACCATTAATGATTGATCATAGTTTGACTTCATCATAACCATTGGTATGTTTGATCCCATGGTCCAGACTTATTCTCATTTCTTTCACTATCCCTCTTTCTCACATGATCCTTTCTCTCTCTCTCTCTATATACATATATATATATATATATATATATATATATACATATATACATATATATATATTTGGTAGGAAAGCAATTAATAAAAATGGTTTGGTTTCCCTTCAATTTCTGTTACAAAAGTCAATCATTAATATTTTTTTTTTGAAAAAGCTGGATGTACAACCTTTCCTTACAACTTCCACTTACAAACTGATGTGGCATTTTAAGTGGGACACGCCTTTATTTTCTTTTATATTATTTTATTTTACATAATAAAGAAAATAAAATAAAACTCTTCAGCCCCAAAATCCCAGAAACCAGTCGTATCGTTCCTTCGTATCTAACCAGAAGACATCGTGGGGAGCAGCCATCTGCAAATTTAACTGTCAGTCCTCATCATCCCTAATCGAGACCACGAGACAACATCTTCAGCTATCGTAATGGAGGGAGGTGAGAATGAACCGTTGCTCGAAATTAACCCGTCATGCCCCATCATCCCTAATTGAGACCACGAGACGACATCTTCAGCTATCGTAATGGAAGGAGGTGAGAATGAACCGTTGCTCGAAATTAACCCGTCAAGCCCCATCATCCCTAATCAAGACCACGAGACAAAATCTTCTGCTATCGTTATGGTAGGAGGTGAGAATATAGGTGCCCCGAGGGCTGGTATGGAATTCAAAGATATAAACAGCGTCTTTGATTTCTACAAAAAGTATGCTTACAGTGTCGGTTTTCCTGTGAGAAAAAGAAATTCGAGAAAGGATGATGATGGCATTTTACGATATGTTACTTTCACATGTAGTCATGAAGGAAAAAGAATGAGTGGCACAAGAGGCTCATTGAGGTCGCAACCAACAACTCAGACAGACTGCAAAGCTCGAATCTCGGCATCTTTAGATGATCATGGTTATTGGAAAATTAACACAGTTTACCTCGACCATAATCATAAATGCAGTCCAACTAAGTCGAGATTATATCGATGCCATAGAGAATTGAGTGCAAGTGTAAAGCGAAGGCTTGAAGTGAATGACGTGGCCGGAATTTCATTGCATAAAAGCTTCAATTCTGCTGTAGTTGAAGTGGGTGGATACGATAATATGACATTTGTCGAGAAAGATTGTCGTACCTATATTGAAAAATTTAGACGGTTAAGCCTAGAAGAGGGGGACGCAGCAGCAATAATATCATATTTTTCAGATATGCAAGCAAGGTGTGCTGGATTTTTCTTCTGCATGGATCTGGATGATGATTCCCGTTTACGGAATATTTTTTGGGCAGATAATCGAAGTAGAGAAGCATATAAAGAATTCGGGGACGTCGTCACATTTGATACAACCTACTTAACAAACAAATATGACATGCCTTTTGCACCCTTTGTTGGTGTTAATCATCACAGACAATCAACACTTCTAGGTTGCGGGTTGATCTCGAATGAAAATACGGATACCTTCGTTTAGCTTTTTCAGACATGGCTTAAGTGTATGCATGGTCAAGCTCCTCAGGGAATTATCACCGATCAAGACAGAGCAATGCAAAATGCCATTCGGATTGTTTTCCCCAATACGAGACATAGATGGTGTTTGTGGCACATTTTAAATAAATTTCCTGAGAAGTATGGATATCATGTCGATAAAGGTTCAATTTTCTCAACAATACATGAATTGGTGTATGACTCTCAAACGGTTGAAGAATTTGAACAAGGTTGGGAGTCAATGACCACAAAGTATGCGTTGTGTGACAATGAATGGTTGTTAGGATTGTACGAAAACCGTAGTCTTGGGTTCCATGCTTTTTAAAAACTTTTGTCTGGGATGGAATATCAACTATACAACGAAGCGAAAGCATGAATGCTTTTTTCGATGGGTACGTCCACTCAAAAACATCATTGAAACAGTTCGTTCAACAATATGAAAGAGCATTGAGAAACAAGGTGGAAATAGAGGTCCAAGCTGATTTTAAATCATTCTGCCAAATAGTCCCATGTGCAACAACATATAAGATAGAAAAGCAATTCCAAGCTGAGTTTGTGGGTAAGGTTTACTGTGATCTCATTTCTTCTTCAGAAGGTTGTTTTGGGACAATTTACGAGGTCCGAGAAGATTTATTTTGTGGCTATCTGCGCAAGAAGAAATCATTTTTTGTCTCTTTCAATAGGGAAAAATTTGAAGTAGTTTGTAGTTGTCATCTGTTTGAATTCCGGGGTATTCTCTGTCGATATTCAATTGTAGTCCTTATCCGTAATGACGTCTCTAGACTTCCTGATCAATATATATTACATAGATGGAGAAAAGATGTCAGGCGACCATACACGAGGATTGCTTTGAAATATGACGGATTGAGGAATTCTCCGGGACAATTGAGGTATGACAATTTGTGCACAGTTTTTGCTAAGGTCGCAGACCTTGATGAAGATAATGAAGTTCGAGCCGGAATGATTATGGAATGGATCCAATTGCAAGCACAAGAACTTTCTATGTTAAAACATATTGATGAAAGAAGTATTTGCAACGATCCTGCTAGTTTCAAAACTCCATGTAGCATTGGCGTTGGAGATCCGAAGTTGACAAAAAGAAAGGGCGCAACAAGAAAAGTACGCAAAAAAAGTCCGTTGGAGTTGACTTCGAATAAGAAAAAGAAGAAGAATGAGGTATCTTTATGTATATTCACAATAGTTAAATGAAATACTATAAAATCACTTCTGTTTTTTCTTTTCATTGTTTTATGTATTTACAGGCGCCTTCAATTAATAGAGGAAAAGGACTTACAAAAGAGTTAATCAAGCAAACAAATGAGCCAAAGGTAGAATTAGTCACTATTCTCTAAATTGTTATGTCAGTTTTTCCCTCTTTTGTCTTTTTTTTTTCTTTTTCTCCGACAAATACTAAGTTTATCTTTTATTCTTTTCTCTCTTGTGTTTTTCTTTTTCATTTTGTAAGATGTTGGCATTGGATACTGGAGTTGAATTTGAGGTGCAAAATCAATCTTCTATGGAGTTAAATTCTCGAGGTTAAATCAATTTTTGAACATGTTAATTTCTATGCCATAATGTGTATGTTTAGTTATTCAATCTTATGTCTTTTTTTTTTTAGGTAATAATGTGATTCAATATTGCAACCAGTATTCACCATATCAAATGGGGAATGGGAGTGTTTGAAGACAATTAGATAATATGAGGCTTTTGGTCATCAAGTTGAGAAGAAATTATTAGAATTTTTGTGTTTGATTTTATTGGTACCTACTGGATAGTGACTTGTTTCATGTTGAGTTAATTGCATTATTTCTGCTTTATTTCCATGTTGAGGTTTTGGTTTCCATTTAATTTCACTCTTTTGTAGCCTTTATTTTCAATTATAAAAGATTTAATAATACTTGGTGAAACTGAAGTCAGGTAAAACTGAAGATTGTATTACTCATTCACCTTTAACTATAGTTGGCAAGTGAATCTGGGATGTAATAGATTAAGGTTCATTTGCAACAACAGGCTGGAGGAAGATTTCATTTTACTTCAATCTGTCTTATGAAATTAAAGACAAGACCATCGAGTACGATGACAACCGCAATGTTCAGCGTGCTGAGTTCATTGTTCGTGCATACATGCAGTATGTTACCTTTATTTCTCCTCCAACATTGGGTATTTTTCATAAGTTGGGTGAGCTTTCATTTAAAGAATGTCCTTACTTACACTAGAATTCTATTATCTTCCCTGTTTCTATTGTTGATAAGGGTGGAAGGTTTTCAGATGGATGGGGTTCATGTGATCGACGAGAGAAGAAGTTTCAGAAACCCAATCACGATATTCCAAGCACAGTTGAAAAACACAACCAATTATTTTATAATAATCATCATATAGCAACAAAATATGTTAAATCTCAACATGTAGTAACAACCATTAACTATCAATACATTTGATCATATTTCATCAAAGTGTGAAACTTAATATACATCCCAAGAATATACAAATAGATATCCCAAAACATATCATCCTCATCAACATTATAGGTATCCCATATCAACCTCAGTCACATATCAAACATTAGCCACATTTTTCCCACAGGTTCTGCACTCAAGAAACAACATAGTCCTCCATCCTCATTTCCATCTCCTCCATATTGTACACTGCAAATTATTGATCATGTGTCGGGTAGTTCCCGTGAAACCACTCCACTGCCCCGAATCGTCCGACACAAATACCTACCTCAAGCGCCCCAGGGACGACACGACTAATCTATTATCCCGGACAAGCCCGTCCACAAGGGACATCTGCCCGAAAATTGGGACCAACAAGAAATCGAAGGCCCGAGCCTGGCCGTCTTTCGGAGAATCAGCCTCAGACAGGAGCTCGATGCCAGCGCCTTTAAGAAAGTCGAGATCGTTCTCGAGCTGGTGGGCGCCCAAAACGAGGACCTTTTGGCCGTTATTGATGAGACTTTCAACCATTACATTTCTGAGCGAGATGTGTAGAATCCTTGTCCACGCGCCGCGCGCCTCCCCGCCGGAGCTGGACCCTCAGAGGGAGCTCCACGACGAGTCGTTGATGTTCTTCGCCTCCGGCTGCTCCAGATTACCAATCAACTCACGGTTTATTCTGGCTTCCCGGTAGGCCAGGCCATGGTCGGAGTGGCGAAGGCTCCATCTGCCATAGATGGCTGCTAGAGCGACGAGGGCGACAGAGCAGATTTTGACCATCACTATTATCGATTCAATTTAGGGCTTTGGGAATTATCGATTGAATTTTGATATTTTGGGAGTCGGGGCGTGTAATATGAATTCCTCTGTTCTGTACTTTAATGCCATGGCCCACATCAGTTTTAAATTTTAATGCCACGCCAGTTTGTAAAACAAAATTGTCAACATATGTTGTACCTGTAGCGGGACTGATTTTTTTTACCATTCACATTAACACACCTTATTAACTATAATCATATATTTTTTTTATTTTATATTATGTAATAGTTAATGTTAATATTAATTAATAATAATTCACACCAAATAAAAATTACATAAGTATAAACAATCTTATTGCAATTTTTTTTTTCATTATTTTTTTATTTAGTATCTCATGAAATAGTTTCCTCTAAAAAATTTAGGTAAATAGTTTTATTATCATAGTCAAACCATTGTAAAATCTTATAAACAATTGTTGATATAATATTAATAATAATAATAATAGTAATAATAATAATAATAATAATAATAATAATTTTTCAACTAAATTATTTGACTATGATCCATCCAAAGTATAAAAATTACAAACTCTACAAATTTTTTTCAATCAATATAGTGATTCGGATATACTTAAATAATTTATATTTATATTATTTTATTTTTACGGACAATCGAATCTAAAAAATATGATATGGTCATTATCTATAATTTTAATATTAAATTTTCACATATTACTTATACTATTTTATATACATTTTTAGTGTTTAGTTGATCTTTGACTATTGAATTATAATAATGCATTTTCAGTGTTTTCAACACACCTCGGAGGATAAAATTATTTTATACTAACAAAGTAAATAATCTCCACCTTAGTTATTACTGCTTATTTTTAGCACGTAAGATAATAAATGAGCATATTTATTAAGTTGTTATTTATTGATTTACCAGGAGTGAGATTTATTGCAAATCAATAGCCTTTGTATTTTGGTAAATAATTCCAATTACATGATGTGACTTTAAGACTGTTTACGGTCACTACGTTCCGGTGTGCCGGGATGAGGACGTCCTAAAAATGAGCTCAAGAAGGACTTTATGTCAAGGCCTGCAGACGGATTGGATTCAAACATACTCAAAAAGAATTGAACGGTACTAATTTTAGATCAAGAAAATAATTAATTATATTGATAACAATTAAATTAATTAACAAACGTTAGATATTTAACATGAAGAGGTAAATTGAGTTAATAAATCTAAAGACGAATTTAAAATAGTTTGAGATTAAATTAGAAGTTCAACAATATTCCTTTAGTTGAATGGAATATTATTCATTGGATTAGGTTTAGGTATACTAGGGCCTACAGTGGCCTAATCCCATGGGGAGTCCTAATTTGGGTCCTTTTGAAGCTCACCATGCATACGCGCATATATTCACGAGAAGTTTTGAAATCTCGTGCCTAAAAATCGAGAGAAAAAATGTGAGAGTCTCGTGAAATGTAGGCGAAAAACTGAAGATGAATTGGTCTTCTTTGTTCTTTCCCATAGTTGATCGGCGTGAGCATCAAAGGCAGATCTGACGAGTCGCTCACGAAGACATACTCAGAATAGGTGATTGGTCATACAAAAGAAGGCTTGATGGTGCCTCACAAAATACATTTATAATATCCAAACTTCATGATTTTAATTTTATTTTTTTTAACATTAATTGTTTCAAATCAAGAAACTCATTATCTAGTGGCAGCTGGTTACTAATAATTTCCGTAATTTTTTTCTCAACCTCATTAAGTTATAGAAAAATTTTACAAGTACATAATAATGTACATAGAGGTGTACACAACACTCACATAGAGTGTGGTCCATTTGATTTTTTATTTTTGGTAGGACCCACCTAATGTGAGTGTTATGTGCACCTCAATGTATAGTATTAGAGCATCTCCAATGCTTACATGTAGTTGTAGTAGATTACACTCTACATTAACAAATTTAGCAATTTATCCACTTTTAATCTTCCAATGCACAATGTTATTATAAATGTAGTGGTGAGGTGGACATAGTTAATGTCTACAGTGTAAAAAAGAATGTGATTCATCCACATTCTCATTCACATACTAGCCAACCAATGAAGTGAAGAGAGATAAATATTATAACTACTTTCAAAATATCTAATTATTTAATTCATTTTATTTTATATTTATAATTTTTTTATTTTAATCAAATGGGAAATATTGTGTTTGGTTACATTGTGCATGGGACATAATTTTTTCGAATTAAAGTTGTGAACCTAAAAATTATCTTATATGGTTCACAATTCATCTAATTAATTGACATTTGTCAAAATTTATGTAATGACAGTATTTATGCATTGGAGATGTTCTTATGTACCTATAGCATGTCCCTAAATTATATATCTTGTGTGCTTTAATATTTCAAACAATTTTTCAAAATTTCACACCAAATTCATTTAATTAAATTAAAGCATACATTTCTAAAGAAAAAAATATTGTAAATGTAAAAATAATACTTAGAAGGCTATATATAATAACAAGTGGATAGAACAATACAATAATGAGCATAGTTGCATTCATTTAAGATTTTCAATGACTATTAAGACTTTAGTGATTCTAATATATTTGATTTTGACTTTTAAAATTTTTTAAAACTTTTAAAAATCTCGGGTTATTCGTTTAGTATTTTAAAAGATTTTATATATGCTAAGATTTTAAACACTTATAAAACACTGAGCTATTTAATCTATTTAAGATTATGATTGTGTTATGACTTTTTAAAATTGGTTGGAATATGAATACAAAAAACCATATAAGAATTCTACTCCAAATCCCACATTAAAACTTAAGGTTTTATAATATTATTCCAAAGTCTGAAAATTTTAAAAATTTGCAACTCTAAAAAAGTCTTGAAATGTCGCTCGAAATCTCAATCGAATACTTCTCTTAAATAACCAATTGTGAATTTGATATAGTTCAATTTTTATATATATCTGCACAGAAAAAGTAAATATTTGAAATTTTGGGACTAAGTGCCCACAATTTGTCTGACCTGAACCAAAACAATTCTTTTAAAGGCCATAGATACCTCACATAAGAAAATTAATCAAACAGATTANAAAAAAGCATTGAATCAAAAGTAAAAGAGAGGGGGTTATAGGTTCCATTTAATTTGGCCACGGCTTTGCTATTTTCTTACCCAACTATGTAAATAAGGAAAGTTGGGCACAGAATATAAATTGGGTATTTTCTCATATGTACATTAGTAGGACAAAAAATTCGAACAAAGTTAACTGAATAAAGTTGAATTGACAAAAAATAAGAACACGCTTTTCCAGTATTGTTGTAATAGTTAGTTGAATAAAGTTAATTGGCCAAAATTGATCAATATAGTTTTGTGGTACACGCTTTTCCATTTATTATACCCTGTGGGTCACGGTTCATGGAAACAGACAAAAAAGATATGTACATATATATTATTTGCCTT